AGTACTCTACACATAGTATTATTATTATTAATATTATTATTATTATTAGTAGTAGTAGTAGTAGTAAATGTATATAGCGCCTTTCCCAGGATCAAGGATGCTTTACAAGATACAACAAATACTCATTACAAAGTAACAGTTAAGTGGAGAGTGGACATTTGCCTAATCCAGTCACAGATAATGCAGTTGCATATAACACAAATGAAGTAATAATCATAATAAAATCAAGTCATGTCAAGTCAAGTCATCTTAATTTGTATAGCACTTTATACAATACTGGTTGTGTCAAAGCAGCTTTACAGTTTAAAACAGGAATATACTTTGTCAATAATGCAAAAAGACAATAACTGATTCATTTTTCCAGCTAAAGTGAGTTCATGTATGATTCATTTACATTTATGAAGTCATTTAGCAGGCGCTTTTATCCAAAGCAACTTACAAATGAGGACAATGGAAGCTATCAAAATCAACAAGAGAGCAATGATATGCAAGTCTCAGTTAGCTTAACACAGTACACGTAGCAATATAATAAATAAAAAAAATGGATAGAATACAAAAAGATGGTGTTTTTGTTTTAAGAAAACAAGAAGTTAGTAAATGAATAGAGTCTAAAAGGGCCAATTTTTTTAAAGAATAGAATTAGAATAGAGAGTGCTAGAGTTAGAGGGTCAAATAAAGATGGAAGAGATGTGTTTTTAGCCAATTCTTGAAGATGGCTTAGCACTCAGCTGCTCGGATTGAGTTGGGCAGGTCATTCCACCAGGAGGGCACATTTAATTTAAATATCACTGAAAGTGATTTTGTGCCTCTTTGGGATGCAAAATAAAGCAACGTTCACGTGCAGAACGCAAGCTTCTAGAGGGTACATAAGCCTGAAGTAATGAATTTAGGTAAATGGGTGCAGAGCCAGTGGTGGTTTTGTAGGCAAACATTAATGCCTTGAATTTTAATGCGAACAGCTATTGGTAGCCAGTGCAAATTAATAAACAGAGATGTGATGTGCATTTTTTCGGCTCATTAAAAATTAATCTTGCTGCCGCATTCTGGATTAATTGTAAAGGTTTGATAGAACTGGCTGGAAGACCTGCCAAGAGGGCATTGCAATAGTCCAGCCTGGGCGGAACAAGAGCTTGAACAAGGAATTGTGAAGCATGTTCCCGAAAGAAAGGGCCTGATCTTCTTGATGTTGAATAAAGCAAATCTGCAGGACCGGGCAGTTTTAGCAATGTAGTCTGAGAAAGTCAGCTGATCATCAATCATAACGCCAAGGTTTCTGGCTGTTTTTGAAGGAGTTATGGTTGATGTGCCTAACTGGATGGTGAAATTGTGGTGAAACGATGGGTTTGATGGAAGCACAAGCAGTTCTGTCTTGGCAAGGTTGAGTTGATGGTGATGATCCTTCATCCAGCAAGAAATGTCTGTTAGACAAGCTGAGATGCGAGCAGCTATCGTCGGATCATCAGGATGGAATGAGAGGTAGAGTTGAGTGTCATCTGCATCGCAGTGATATCAAAAGCCATGTTTCTGAATGACAGAACCTAGTGATGCCATGTAGACAGAAAAGAGAAGTGGTCCAATAACTGAGCCCTGAGGCCCCCCAGTAGTTAGATGTCATAACTTGGACACCTCACCTCTCCAAGATACCTTGAAGGACCTATCTGAGAGGTAAGACTCAAACCACTGCAGTGTGGTACCTGAGATGCCCTTTGCCAATAGGGTTGACATGAGGATCTGGTGGTTTACCATGTCAAAAGGAGTGGACAGATCCAACAAGATAAGTATTGAAGATTTGGAATCCGCTCTTGCCAGTCTTAGGGCTTCAACAACTGAGAGCAAGGCAGTCTCGGTCGAATGTCCACTTCTGAAACCAGACTGGTTGCTGTCGAGTAGGTTGTTCTGTGTGAGAAAGGCAGAGACTTGGTTGAACACAGCTCGTTCAAGTGTTTTTGCAATGAAAGGAAGAAGGGAAACCGGTCTGTATTTCTCTAAAAGAGGTGGGTTAAGGGTGGGTGTCGTAAGTAGAGGGGTTATATGAGCTTGTCTAAATGCTGAGGGAAAAACACCAGTGTGAAGGGATGTGTTGAGGTGAGTGAGTGCAGGTACAACTGCAGGAGAAATGGCTTGAAGGAGATGAGATGGAATAGGATCAAGCAGACAAGTAGTAGGATGATTAAAACGGATGAGTTTGGAGACTTCTGCTTCAGAGAGTGAAGAGAAGGATGTGAACGAGTGTATGTTTGCTGGTAAGATGTGCTTGACAGATTGTGTAGTGGACAATTGAGCACTGATGGTTTTAATTGTATTAATGAAGAATATGCCAAGGGGCAGAAGGGATGGTACGGGCTGGCCTGTAAGACAAGGGGCAGACAGTGTCTAAACAAGATGTAAGAGTGGATCAGAAAGTAGAGAGATGATAACTGTTTAGGGGGAGGAAGCGAAGATGAAACCAGATAGCCGGGAGGGTGAGAGCGTAGGCTATGTAGAAAGATGACATTTGGAGGGGTATGTGTTGTGTCAGGAACCATGTTGAGGTTAAGAATGAGGAGGAAGTGATCTGAGGTGTGCAGTGGAGTAACCAGTACATGATCAGTGGAGCAGTGTCGTGTGTAAATAAGGTCCAGTTGGTTGCCTGATTTGTGAGTAGCTGTAGTTAGCACTCTCATGAGATCAAAAGAGGCAAGCAGAGTGTGGTAGTCTGCAGCCTGAGGTTTATCTAGGTTGAAGTCTCCAAGCATAACTAGGGGAGTACCATCCTCAGGAAAGGTTGAGAGTAGCACATCTAATTCATCCAAGAAGTTACCATGTGGTTCTGGGGGTTGATAAACAACTACAAAATGGATTTTTAAAAAGGTGGGTAATAGTGACTGAATGTGATTCAAAGGAGCTGTTAATACCCAGAGAAGGTAAAGGAATAACTTTCCAATCATTAGAGATAAGCAGACCATTACCTTAACCTCTTCCAGTCAGACAGGGAGTGTGGGAAAATGAGTAAGATGTGAGTAATGATGGCGCCGACGCTGATGGCTGCCTCCGTGGCGTGCTCCGCAGTTGTTTTTATGTTGGTAACACTTCATTTCGATAGTCCACTTTAGACATTTTATTAACAGTAAGTAACTTTGTAACTACATGTCAACTAGCAGTTAGTAGAGTATTAGTAGACTATCTGCTTAATATCTTCAAACACTTTCTTTGTCAACTTATTCTACTAACCCTAAACCTACCTTAACAGTCTACTCTGAGAGTTAGTAGACATGTAGTTGCAAATTAATGAGAATTAGTTGACATGTAGTT